TGATTCGCTTGATCGTTTCAGAAATGTTTGTTACAGATGAATTTGGACACGTTCCATTTGTCGCCGCTCTTTTCTTGTTTATGCCTATTATCGAAGATTACTTATGACCTGATTTTAACGTGTCATGTAATGTTTCTTTTGCGTGCATGTCTTCAATTTCTTGGAAGAGTTGTTGTAGGTTAGTAAAACTTGCTTGCTAAGGTGTCAGCAATTATCGTTGCTGTTTTAAATATTTATTATAGTAAAACTGGAAGCAATAGTTTGCCTTTAGGAAAACCTTGATATGAGACAAAGGACAGAAGAAGTTGAAGCAGCTTGTTGAAGTATTATCTCCATACGGGATCAAAGGTGCTTATTAAGTACTGATAAGATATACCCTTCTGCGCTTATACATTTCTATTTTAGTTCGTTTAACATAACATGATAATAAGTGCTCTTTTTTTTTAAAGCTTGTACCAAGTGAGCAGTATGGCAATCGAGATACACAGTTTATTTGTTTTTCTTGGTTTTGTAATTTTTTTAAGGTACCAATGGTTAATATTCACGTCTATATTCGTTTCATGAGGATGTGCTGACTTACATTTTCCTTAATTTAAATTGTCTAACACATGTTACTATATAAAAATAAGGATACTGTTTCAGTATTAATCTTTTTTTTTTATCTTGTACATTGCTTTGTAAATGTTGTACCATATCACTGAGGGTCTGGGTGGGGTTTACAGAATATAGAATAATGGACAAAAAGTGCAGAATAAAGGGTTAAAAAATAAACAATAGAGAAGAATAGGAAAAAAAAGAAAAAAATAGAGAATAATGGAGTATTAAAGTAAACAGAATAGAGAATAATGGAGTTTTAACATATACAGAATAGAGAATAATGGGCAAAATACAGAAAGAAAAGAGAAAAATGATCTAAATAATTAAAGATTAACGAATTGGGGGAACCCCCAACCAGACACTCATCACTTGTGTGTTGCACAAAAGGGAAAAAAGATATGTAGCTAGATGATAGCTCTTTACTCTATGCTTAGTTGGAAAGTTTCTTCTTAAATACCATCTTCAAGATCTACGACAATGCTTTTATAAATAAACGCCATTTTAAGATTCCGCAATTATATATACCTTAATGGCATACTATTGTTCATGTAAAATATATATAACTAAACACATTTATTTAAAAACCAGTTGTTGGCATGACACGGGTTATGTTTTTCTCATATATGTTATGATGGTATGATACTAAACCCCTAACGGGAAGGATTGTGCCTGATATTCATATGATGAAGACATAATCTTTCAATCAGTTTAATTGAAGTCTGGAGCTGGCATGTGAGTTAACTGCTAGTAGTCTGTTGTTATTTATGTATCATTGTCATTTTGTTTATTTTCTTTGGTTACATCTTCTGACATCAGACTCGGACTTCTCTTGAACTGAATTTTAATTTGCGTATTGTTATGCGTTTACTTTTCTACATTGGCTAGAGGTATAGGGGGAGGGTTGAGATCTCATAAAAATGTTTAACCCCGCCGCATTTTTGCGCCTGTCCCAAGTCAGGAGCCTCTAGCCTTTGTTAGTCTTGTATTATTTTTAATTTTTGTTTCTTGTGTACAATTTGGAGTTTAGTATGGCGTTCATTATCACTGAACTAGTATATATATTTGTTTAGGGGCCAGCTGAAGGACGCCTCCGGGTGCGGGAATTTCTCGCTGCATTGAAGACCTGTTGGTGACCTTCTGCTGTTGTCTGTTGTTCTATGGTCGGGTTGTTGTCTCTTTGACACATTCCCCATTTCCATTCTCAATTTTATATGCTTTGTTTCCTAAATACTGAGTGGGAAAACACTGTTACATTCATTGCATTTCCATATATATTTCTCTTTTGAAAGGTGTATGTATATACTGCATTAACATTACAAAGTGTAGGTTTATTGTAGTCATACCGTCATTTAACAAATTTAGACCCGTACCATAATTTAAAACAATTTTTCCGCTAGTATTAAGACATTTATGTGAGGGCCATCTGACAAAAAAGTAGTGCGAAAAAGGCTTAGTCATTTAAGTATTTCAGAAAAAAGATTTAATGCAAGCAGTATTGTCATTTCAATACAGTTTTAAATAGACACAGATTTCGTAAATATCATCGATTAGAAAAATATTAGAAATACCCGAATTTACCCATAGACCCATTAAAGTTACTATTTTGAAAGAATATATTGTTCTTTAACATTTAAACGAAATTATTTTGTCAAAATATTTCCATCAGAAGTTGAAAGGGCTTTATGTAAAATTTAAAAACTTATTTGTATTTGTATAATAGGTATAAATCATTCTTTTGGCTTGCATTATTCTTTATAACTTGCAGACGACAGAAGAACAATTTAGTTCGCGGTGACGTAATCGAAAGAAATGGTAAGTTAGGATTTTATATTAGATTTTGTGTCTGCTTTAATTTACATATTTAATTTGACATAAGAACTGTTTGCACAACCCAGCATCTTCACTTACTTTGTTTATTTAACATTGATTATATTTTTGATACTTATTGTGTCTAAACTACTAGTGGGAACACAAAATCCCCAAGAAGTCGATTTGGAAAAAAAAAGATATGATTTTTCCCAAAGATATTTCAATGATTTTTCACAGTACAAAAAAAATAAGAAAACACAATAGAAAAGAGGGTCAAGACATTGTTGTTGGCAAACTTTTTAAAGTTGTCATACAAGTCAATGATGTCGGTTCTTACATAAATTGTCACTGGATATTTTTGCCATCAGTTTCTTCTTTCCATCAAAATACACATGTTAAATATCCTGCGGTATATGCCTTTTATAATGTGACCTTTTTTAAATGATATTTCAGATCTAGGTTCTATTTTTCTTAGAAATTGTTATATTGACACAATGAGGATTTTTAAAACAAAACCCTGGATGGCGATAACATTTTTATAATTAAAGCTAAAGTCAATAAAAGAAATGTTTTCACAATATAGGGAACTTCTGATATATAATTTTGGATTTTTGCTCACAACGCTTTTGATTTTTTACAAATATCCAAACTTTTGTCTCTTTCTGTACCTAACAAAGAAATATAGCTTGAACTAAAAAAAAAAAATATTGCTTTCTCTCATTTCTTATTGGATGAGGCGCAACAATTATACTTTGTATGTAATTTTTGTATTAAAGAGTTATGTTTCACCATCGTTCTACCAAACACCTCTGTGACTAGAACTACTTGACCCTTGAAAAACACCCTGTTTGTCCTATGAACACACAACATGGCAAGACCGCATAGTCATCGGTCATCGTTGAAGATTCCATGATTAATAATTAAAACAAAAAACTTGCGAGATATTTTTTTCTCTTTAAAGAGCCCATAAAGTGACAGTTTTGCAGTGTTCATATTTAACGTGAATATACTCCTACATTTTCATAGTTGTAACGGAGAACCAAATACTGTAACTATATGCATCTTGACAAACGGATTATCTTATTTCAACCTCTGGTACAATTTTCATATATATCAAGACCAAACAATTTTTGCATTTTACTGACACTGGTTCTAAAAACAGTGGAAAATAAGGGAACAACCATTTGGCAGCTATGTTCACGTTTGAAGTGAGGTCAATGTCTCATTTGCTTACTCAAGTTGTTGTACTTGTATGTTGCCTTTTTAAAGCAAATTGTTTTCAAATGCATACATTTTTTACCAATTTCATAGACCATAAAGTATCCAATAATTATATACTAGTGCTGCTTTATCTTGTCTATTAGCACCGAGGTGGTTTTCTACTTCACAGTCCTAATCCTTGGTAAGTTAGGAACTACATGTAGTATCAAACATTTCCCATTTAAAGATAGGTGTCTGAATGAAATAAGTTCATAGTTCACTGATAGAAATGTTCCCAAATCAGAATGTAGAATTTATGTGTAATATTGGATAGATTTATCACCAGTCGTTTTCATTTACAAAGGTATTATCGCGCTCAGGTGGGAATTGAAAAATAAAATAATTTGTCGTAAAATCGATTGTGTATAATTTCTCAACAAATTTACCTCTTTATATTGCATTCTATCTTAGACAATTTATCTATTATTGATGTTCTCTTCAAATCCCGTCATTTGATCCCCTCGTGTAATAATTGGGTTAAAACAACGTGAGAATTGTATGACCAGTTGTCTATAGAATATTTAAAAATACAGAAGTGAATCCAGACAAAAAATGGGTGGGGGGACAAGGAGTTTCCACCTCTAATGGGACAAAGGGGAGTATAATCAAACATATCAGTTGAATTTTTTTAAACAAATTCACAGAAAAAGCATATATCTATAAGTACTAATGCTTGTTGTTTGTAGTTTCTTCACTATTTGTTTGTTTGTAAAAGTTGACGTATTTTTGGGCCAGAATAAAGGGGGCGACATAAGGTTTTGAATTTATTGAGATATACTTGGAAATGACCAAATATGAAAGAAACAGGGTTTTTATTAAAAGGTTTTTGTGTTGCTTTTTATGGAAAAGAGGGGGTGTAATGTATTAATTCATGACACAATTGTTTGTTGATTTTTTATTTCGATAAAAAAGTGTACCACAAATAATAGAATGTTTATGTAAGGCTTTATTTTTTCTGACATTAATCGGAAAGTGTTCGTGTCCCACTGTTATCAAGATATACAAGTATACTTTTTCTTAAAACTTTTAACAAATAAGTTAATGTATCCCTTTAATAAAAGCACGAAAACGACATTAACAGTGCGACCCTCCGTTAAAAATCCAGACCGTAGAACTACGGCTTTATTGAACACAAGAAAACATAATTTATATGGAAAAACAACATGACAATCTACGAATCAATAATAATATTTTGGTAATTTGATTAAAATATCCTGAAGTCAGATGTTCAACAATATTTTTAATTTCTACACAAAGCCATAATTGATTGATTTTCCACCTATTCCTTCGTTTTTTAAATCCTACAGAAATAATAAGATTCATACATGCAATGTTGAGATAAGTGACTCTCGATAGATAGCAACGAGTTTCGACCTGCTTAGTAAATATTGAACTGTCGGTAGGAGATCTCACCGGAGGGATAAATATACCTCTATATAACCGGACATAAAATACATATTGTGAAAAAATATTTCGACAGAATCTAACTAATATTTTAATTGAGTTTGAGAAAAAAAATAAACGATTTAAACAAGGTAGGTGTATCGTTAAATACTTAAAAGTTACTTTTCTGTCTACTTTTCTATTTAAACTTTATGTATGTGTTTCATTATTTGTTTATTTTTCAGGTTATTCTACCCACATAAAAATGAAAGATGGAAGTTGGATAATGTGATTCAATGAAAAACAAATATGAAGTTCACAATTTAGCTTTTGTAAAAACGTACTGAAAATGAAATACCGGGGGAGAGGGAAATCCGCTCCCATAGCTCGCTTGACAGATATAATTTCGAGAGGATATTTCCAACAAGTTCGATTTTTCGTTGATTTGGGAATTGATATCGACCAACAAGATGTCAATAATCGTTCCCCTCTTGTACTATGTGCGGTTATGGAACCTTCACAATGGGGAACTGGAATAGCTCGTTTACTTATAGAAAAAGGAGCAATAATTGACAGTCAAGATAAATATGGTATGAACGCTTTACATCTAGCGTGTATCTACAACAGATTAGAATTAGTAAAAGTTCTTTTACATGCAATTGATTTTGATTTAGTTCATACCGACAAATGGGGAAATACTGCCCTCCATTATGCCGTAAGAAGTGGAAATAGTGCCTTAGTTGAGATACTCAAAGATACATACTTACATTACAAATATACACTAGACACAAAGAACAAAGAAGGACTGACGGCTTTGGATGAAGGCTACAGGTACTCACAATCAGCATGTGTAGCAGTACTCCAAATAAAACATACCATGGCTAACAGCGATGATGAGTCTGTCAGTCAACATTCTGTTCCACAGTTACAGCTATCACATGATCATTTGTCCTCTCGGAGTATTTCAAATTTTAGCTTTAGACGGACCTTGAACAGACCAAAAACAGCACATTTTCCGCACAAACCTGATTTTCCCCGGGAATGTTCTACTATGTCAAATTCGTCTAGTACTTTACTGTATCCATTTCCAGAACCACGCAAATTTATACGACAACCCCGTCGCGAATTACAACCAAACGAGAAAGATCCGTCAAAACTGATCTTTTGTTCGGATACTACCGATTTTAGAAACCATCCGGAATACCTTTATCAACTAGTAGAACCTGGAGTTTTACCTATGACTTACATTTTCAATTCAAGGCGACCGAAATCAGCAATGCCAAATCGAGCATCCCCAGTATCAGACAATGGAGGCACGTTTTTCAATTGGCGAATCGAGTTTAAGAAACTGTATGTTCATTATGAATATCAGTGTACACAATCGTATCGAGATTCTATGAAAACTGTACCAACCTTAAGTCTTACAGAGGACAAATCCAACTCACCGTTACAGACGGACAATGAAAGTGAGGATTTCGACAAGGGAAGCAAGAAGGGTAGAAAACACAGTTCTAAACATGGAGAACGAAAACTACAGACATCGCAACAAGGCAAACGGAAGTTGTCTATAGTAGGTAGACATTCGCATTCGCCTACTTCTCTAGATGGGTCTTTGGCATCTAGCAGTGAATCATTGAGCAGTGGAACATCGTCCAAAAGAATGCTTTCTGCCCAGAAAGACCGCCTGAAAGTGCCAAGTGACCAGCAAATTATACCAAATGGAAGGACTAGTCGAGCGTCTAATCGGGAGCATTCTGCCAGTAAACTGAGGGTATCTTAGATGGAATGCTACTTAAGGAAGTACTAGTAGTTAAATGTGATAAAATTTTGATGTACACAATTTAAAATGAGTGTTTAAACTAGATAACTCGAGTATAAGCCAATTTGGCTTCAAATTTAGTGTATAGTTTGGTGAATAATGCAGTACTTTTAACATTTTGTAATATTGCCGACTCACTGACACCAAATCTACACATAACTCTACGCAATATTTACTTCATATCAAGTCATTAAAGACATTTAAAAGTCGTAATTTTGATTTTTGAATAGTTTTACCTACTTGTATATTGTACATGATGTGTGAACATACAGGTAGGCTTTTAAAGAATGATAAGTTTTATAAACACTTCACCCCATAATCATCTTAACATGGTTCGGTTATCTCTCATAATAAAATAGGTAAGAATTTGTGAACAACTTTCATAATTTAAATAAAACTCTACTAACTATCTTACCAATGGATTATTTGTTTAAATAGCTCGACTGTTTTGACGACAGAAGAATTTACAGTTACATAGGGATATACAGAAAATGTATAAATATAGTTCTTTTATCCGCTACAAAATAAGGATCTATCCTAATATATCGTCTTTCAAACAGCATATACATTTATGAATTCGCTTTAACGCTATGTTTTGTTCCACTGAAGACGGAATTGAATTTGATTTGAAGGATTAAGACAAGAGAGTTAAAAGATACATTTCTGAATGACATAATATATTGTCCGCCTAAAAAATAATTTTATTTACGACTCTTATCTTTGTTAGCTCGCCTGTCCCAGTCTCAGTGTGCGATTTGGACATCGCATGGCGTATGTCTGTTGTCTGTTAGTTATAAAAATTTCAAAACTATTCACCAATAAACTGGTCAAATGAAACATGAAATGACCAAAACATTTTATGAATTTTAGTTTCAATTTAGATCTAAAATAATTAATGTTCCCTGCCATAAAACAACATGGTTGGCGTTACTGTAAATAGAACAAATGAGTAAAACACCAGTGTTGATAATTTTTCTGTTAAAGTATTTAGTTTCTGAGAACTAAACAAGAGAAATTATTCCTTTGGCGTTCTCCATTCGGAATTGTGTCGGAGCTTTCTCGCCGTCACAGGAATATAACGGTTTGCCGTTACTACAACAACAAAATTAAATGGAAATACTAAAAATGATAATACTTGTATTTAGCTTTGTAATCTTTGCAAAAAGTTGGTAGAATTCCAATTTTACATTCAACTTCCCAGCTCGGCATTCAATATGGCCGAATAGATATTTTTTTTCAATTTGGATCTTGTCGGATATTATTAGATTTTTCCATCTGAAACGATTAGACCAAGCGTGCAATTTTGACAAAACTGATATCAGCTATTATATATTGAATCACTAAAAAGTTGTCTTGTTTAAAATAATATTTGGATGACACAGACTTCATTAAAGAATATTTCATCGGATATTTTGTAATATGATGAAGTAATATTATTAAGACCTAAACAGACATCTTTGCCTGTAATTTTATTGGACAATTTTAGCTGTCATGTTTTTGAGGCATGTATCATTTGAAAAACCCGATGGACATGGTCTAACCTCGTCGTTTTCGGTGTAGTGTTTGATTGAATCTTATAGTCCGTGCAATGTTTGCGGATACAGATGTTGGTATGCAAACATGAAAGGACTGGTTAGTTATATTTTAAGGGTAAAACTAATTTAGCAATAATTATTATAAATCTACATTAAATATGTGCAGTAAATCTTTGGTAAACATTCCGTTTTACTTTGTCCGTCCAGCATTGATTCCAATTGTGTTTGTGTGTTATACGGGTGTACATTTTCATGTCTTAACAAGATATTGAATACTAGTTTTTTTTATCCGCTTGAGATGGGACAAATAATATAAGATTTAGGAAAATTGAATAATTGAAACATCTTTCAACTTTTTAAAACAAGACAAAAGCTGTCAACTGCATGATTTTTCTTTTATTTTGCCATGCATTTTTTTCAATCATAATTGTAACAAGACATGAAGTTCAAGCAACTGATTATATTTACCACTACGTGCACGCTCTTCAGAAGCGACGATGCTGACGTGCACATTTGTTATTAATATGGATATAATTTTAGAGTAGGTTCATTTTCAAAAGGGTTTTCATTGATATGCTTGCAAATATATTTGTCTTTGTTTCGTTGGGTTGATGTCTCATCGACGTATGTATTTTTACTTGATGTAAGCGGCCTCAGACCTATGGCAGTTGTCTCATGCGGCTCACGTTGTAACAACTGATATGTTTTTTCCTTTCTTTTTTCTTCCCATTTTTACATAGAATTTCAATATTTTGAATTGTTCTTCGTCATATTAATAGATAACAATAATTTCGACTAGAGGGTTATTAAAACACTGTTGTTTGCTTGCTAATTTACAAGTTTAAAACTGTAATTGCAAAGAACTCAAAATTGAAAATCAATGAGAATATAACATAATTATGAGTGTTACCGCCTACTGTTATTGGATTTGTATTGAATATACATTAGAGAACAATAGTCCTATTAAAAGTTTTCAATATTACTTCCAGAAATCATTGATCACGTTACAAAAAATAATGCCAATCGACATTTCTTTAAACAGTTTGTTCTGAGTGTTTGGTTTCGTAACATATAAAGTTTACTTTTACAAGTATCATTTTCTTTTTAAAAAATGCCATCATGATAATTTTCAATTTACTAAGAACAAATGACGATTATCTTAATGCATTATTAAAGAATAATTCCATGATAAATCAAATTCTGTAAGAAGCAAATAGTTTCATGATTTGGTTGATGGTGAGTAAAGGTTGTACATACGCTTCCAACAAAGGAAGATGTTTTAAATCGACAGGTTTTGTTTAAGAAACTATATAAAAATTAATTTTCCCTTTATCAAATACTAGGATTCACACCTTTCATATATCTGTTTACAAGTAACATTTAGCATTTGCACACCCAGTTATTTTTTTAACACCTGCTCCATGAAAATATATGATATATGTAAAATCTTGAAAATTAAATAAGATTATTTACTGAGATTCCTGTTGCATCCTGTTGACCAAGACAGCAATATAACTGTAAAAAATTCCATGCGACTATGTAATTCTTCCGTATGATTATTCCGAAGAATGTAACATGAAGTTTATGTTTGAACACAGCCAATGAAAATATGGTTCTAATGCGTAACACTTGGTGTCATAGACATCACTTAAACGTACATGTAGAACGTTTTTAGTAAAATAAAACAAAAAAGCAAGGGTGAACTCAGGTGCTCCAGAAGAGTAAGCAGTTCCTGCTTCACATGTGACATCCGTCGTGTGGTATTATACATATAAATGAATCTACAGTTCTTCTGTTTTATATACAAATAGTAAGACCATTAATGATGCCAGTCATAGATTACATCTAGGAAAAAGAATGAGAGGAAACATATATATCTATTTTTCAGGACTTGTGGTCCCATGAACAAACTTTTTTTGCGTAAATTGTTTTAATGATGTTTTATGTCCATTTCAAAAATCAAAAACCAAAAGCATCTCATGGCCACTTCAGTCGGTTCTCTTTTTACACAATGATTGTTCTTAAAAATAAACTTCCAGAATTTTTTGCCACTAGACATTAAACTGCTATCATACTTCAAATACAAAAATTTGTATACGTTTTATATACTTGAATGGCTAAGTTTTACTATTAAAACATGTGTACATGGACTTTCTTTTAAAATAACATCCTTTATCTTATCAAAATCTTCAGAAATGTACTGGTACTGCATTATTGTCTTTCTGTACTGTAATTAACCGATAGCTTTTCCGTGTGCAGTGACCTTAACAACGAGATCGCTCGTTAGTACTTCGACAACAGCACAACGCAAATGCAAGGGAAAAACCGTGATGAAAGAAAAAGTAAACAAATGTGGAAGTTTGAGACTAAAAGAAAAATTTTGATACACCAAATTATTTAATAACTGTTACGAAAAAGTTTAATTTACAAATGAAAACGCATGGAAAATATAAAAAAACAATTAAACATCGCTCTATTGCATGTCTATTACCTCACGTATTTTTCACGTGGTCCATGATTCTGTATTGATTGTTTATTAACTTCACGATTGGTAAACTTCGGCAATAAAACCCGAAAGTTAATTAGCACGCAAAGTTTTCACTGTATAAAATATTTTCTGTCGACAAAACGTTATAGATTCGTAATTAATTTTAAAAAATCGTGCATGAAGGACTTTGGTTAATAGAAAAACAAAGGATATGGGGTATCCATCCATGACACAAAATCAGTACATGCACAACAAAAAACACAAAAAGCAAAATAAACAGCGTTTTGTTGCTGTTCTTCATCGCAAAGTCACAGTGAGGTCTTGAACACGGAGCAAAAGAGTTTAGTAAAGTATATATATACATGCATTGGTTCAATATTTTCCTTAACATTGTTATTTATAGAAACTTGTTGCATATGACTTTAAGCAAACAACAATCAATCATCATATGAAACTATGAACATATTTTGGAAGAATATTTCAAAACATCAAACAGTGTTTCTCGTGAGATATTCAGACAAGTTAAACAAAATGGAAAGTATAATGAATATTTGTATAGAGCTCATGTAGATAATAGAATGAAACATTTCTGACACCTACGGGTGTAGTTCTGTCAAATATAAAGAAACAAAAATATCTATATTGAATAATTTAAAATTGGTTGTGTTATCAAGTACATTAAATAAAGAACCATTTCAAAGGTTTGTTTACTTTATGTGTATTGAATTCTTCAAAAGACCATTAATCTTTCTTAAGACGACGTACAAATAAAGGATCAAAAACTATCGTACAAAGAAAATCTTTAATTAACGTTGACCAATCCAATAGATCGGTTATATAAAGCACACAAGGCTCATATTGGATAAACTTCTTCCTCGTAATTACCATCAAAAATGGCATGTTTTAAAGGAGGAAATCGTCGTTTCCAAGTTAAAGTATAGATCCTGTACTTAAAACGTGAAATATCTTTAAAGAAATTGGATAATGAAATGTTCCATAAAATGAACTTAATAAAAGTTTAGTAACATTGATCATACACATTTTATGTGAAGAATCACGAGGGCAGTAGAAACTGAGTAACCAGGTAAAACAATGAAGATTGCAAGATAAACTGAAGAGTCCAGATTACCCGAATTAAGAAACGTAATTCGTACCGATTGTCAGGTTGTCTGCATATTGATATTGTAAAATATCAGCTGCGAGTCACAATATAAAGTTTTTTGTCGAGTGAGCGCAGCGAACGAGTTCAAAAAGGCTTCATATTGTGTCGAGCAGCTGACATTTTACAATATCAATATGCAGACAACCAGATAATCGATTTATCGGGTTGTATTTGCATATTTTGCATGATAGAAACAAGTGTTTTCTTTGTTTCACCAGCAAACGTGAAG